GCAGAGGGTTGCGCGGGCAGCCGGCAAATCGCACTCTCGCCTGCATTTCGCGCACTCGACACGCACGATCTCCGCAGAGGGTTGCGCGCGGACCGGACAAATCGCACTCTCGCCTGCATTTCGCGCACTCGACACGCACGACGATCTCCGCAGAGGGTTGCGCGGGCACCCGGCACATCGCACTCTCACCTGCATTTCGCGCGCTCGACACGCACGATCTCCGCAGAGGGTTGCGCGCGGACCGGACACATCGCACTCTCGCCTGCATTTCGCGCACTCGACACGCACGATCTCCGCAGAGGGTTGCGCGCGGACCGGACACATCGCACTCTCGCCTGCACTTCGCGCACTCGACACGCACGATCTCCGCAGAGGGTTGCACTTTCGGTTGACGCTGTTCGTCCCACCCTCCGCCTTTGAGAGAGAATTTATAAAGTGGGGAAATGTTTTTTCATTAGGACATCTCCCGTGCTAGTTCACTTGCCTACTCATTGCATGCTTGCATACTCACTGCATGCATGCTCATCACTTGCATACTTACACTTGCATACTTTGACAGCTTTCGCTCTTCCACTTACACAGGGCTACGTATAGCGTTCATGTTATCCTGCAAGTGTGGTGAAAGTGTCAATGTCTAGGTGTGTCTAAGTGTCAGTGTCGAAGTGTCAGTGTTCAAAGGATTTTCCGGAAGAACCCTTCGCAATGCTTTCGGGAATAAGACAAAGACAAAAGAAGATAAGTAAGGGCATGTCAGGGCCTCTTTAGTAGGGCCGGGCCTTTTTGATCACTTTGTCATCGGTCCTCAAAGAGGCAGAGCATTCCTTCCTTTCGGATCTCTCGCGGGAAGCACGTCGAATTCTTTGAATGATGACCCCAACCATCAGATGAATGATCATGGTCTTCCAGCTGGAGGTTCTTCTCTCAACGGTTCTTGATGACCTGGATTCTAGATACGTTCTTCTCCTCAACTTCCTTTGCCTTCAGGTAGTTGGCAGCCTCAACCCTGGTATTGAAGGGAAGTCCTTTAGCATCGAAGCCGAGATCAAACCTCCGGCGGGCACAACAGCACCTTGTTGGCTTGAAAGTTGATGTGGTGACATTTGCTGCAAGTCGTAGAGCGGGGCAGTATGACAGCGTGCAGTAGACCTTCGAAGCAAAGCGATTGAAGGCGCTGGCAGAATCCTAGCAAGATGAATCTATGTGAAACCTGAAGAGAGATCGATGCTTTAGAGGTCGAGAGGGCCCTAAACTACATTCATTAATATATCAAACGCTTATTACAATACGACAGGGCCCCATTCTCAGTAAAGAGACCTCCTGCCACAGACGACGAATTAACTGGGGATGCTTCCTAAGGCCGCCAACGTGTGGTTCTTGAAGGCTTACGGCGCCTCAGGAACTCCCGAGACCCTGGTGGATTCCAACCGCTACGAGGGATTCGAGACCTTCGACTTGGAGCCCCGCGTGGCCTCGGAGGTGCTCGGTGACCGGCCTTCCGGAGGGATCCTTGGAGACACAGGGGGACCCGCGTTCGAACATGACGGAAAGAAGGGACGGAAAGAAAGGTATCCGAAGAAGATGAAGAACTTGAAACAAATGCAAGAAGAAGCAGAAAGAACACCCTTCTTATTCGTAGAGTTATCTGTGAGTTCATGTTACAGTAGAGGTCACTGACGTCCAAGACTGGACGGAGAAATAGCATGAAGGTGCCGCTTGTTGTTGAACAAAGCTTCAAGAGAGAAAAGTGTAGCCAGGTAAATAGATCTAGAATTACAACATATTAAAACATAAGCAAGCATATGAACATGTTACATAAAACAAGGAAAAACGTACATATCGACAGGAAGAGTCCCGGTGGTATAGGAACCTCGAAAACAGAGCTTGTAAAAAAAACAACGCGTGTTCCTGCCTTGGAACCGAAGGCATGGCCGCAACGACGCGCCTGCGCGTGCCGCGCGTGCCGACACCCTCACTGTCAATGGCGTAGCTTGACGTGACGTGCAATAGACCCATACAAGCCCCTTCAACCCCCCCGCATTGCATTTTACGAATTACAGCTCAAACTGAACAAAGATTCATAAAGATTCGATGGAGAAGCCCGTATCTATGGCACTTACTGTAATGAGATTTGTGTTTGCCCAACATGTTGATTTTGTTGGACATGTTGTCTCGAAGTAATTGTTGGCGAGGTTTCAATTTCACTCAGTCCAGTTGTTTTTTGAAGAAACATCCCAGGATTGTGGCACAGGTGACATTGTCTCCAGATGCACTTGACTCCAAAAGCGCACGCTGGCGGTTGCCCTCCTTCTACACAGCTGCAGTGCAACTCATTCTGCCCTCTTTGCCCGCCCGTTTGCTAAACGTACCTTGGGTCCAGCATGAATGATTGATGGGTTGTCAACCCATTTCGACTTAACTTGCTTGCGAAACAACAATGGTCAATATCGTGGTCAATATCGATACTGTTTGTTGAAACCAGAGTCAGAGTAAATACCAGTTGATCGGCGACCAGCCTCTAAGCCAGGCGACCCTGCTCATCTCCATCGAGTTCCGATGGGCGCAGCTGCGATGTTCAAAGCCGCCGCGACAATTTGATCCAGGCAGCCTTCCAGCAGGTGTCTTGTGCTATGATGAAACATCGAGGGGAGGCATTGGTCAGCTCGAAAGCAGGGAAGCGCCTGGACTCAGACTCTGTGGTTTGAAATTTGGGGAGGTCAAGATCTGTCAAGTCAAGGCATGGATAGATATGAAAAGGAAGCATTGGAACCTAGCCGCTAGCCACTAACTGCCACTCAGAACTTAGCAGCTAGTGGAAGAAATCATTAGACATCGGCGTTAGTTCCCGAATCTCCAACTGACGCTGAAGCAAATTCCAATCCATCCAGCACCGCCTTTCTCCCAGGTACTTATAGCTTTCGACAACATCGTGCCTTTGAGATCGGGTCTTTACGACTTTTCACTGGTTCTCCTCACCCAGTTGAGCTCGCGCATTGGTGCACGCAGTGCACGTGCCTGGCCCAGAGAGACGGCCTGGTCCATGAGTTTGGGCTCGGGAAACCTGGAGTTCAGGACGGGATAAGACGGATGGTCTGCTCTAAGCAGAGAGAAGGTGTGACATTCGTAGCGAATTGGTACCAGTCCTGGGTTGGCCACAAAGATCTGGTCCCAGTTTCAGCTGCGGGGAGCATGGAAGCCAGACTCCTATCCTACCCGTTTTCTTCGATCTGCCTTCAACCGGGGAACAATAGTGCTAATTATTGATCACCGTGGAACCAGGGACCGTCTAGCAACGGTCACTAGCAGGTTTCAGGTTTCAACCACATCCAACCATGTCCAACCATGTTTCCTTTGCGACCTGTGGCCAGGACCACTGTAGCTTCGGTCGAGGCCTTCGAGGGGCGAGCCTTGCCATCCAAACTGCTGCGAGATGTGGGGCTCGCGACCAGCAACACCAAGCGAAGTGAGGCGCGCCGGGTGAAAAAAATCAGAAACCCACATAGGCCCTAGGCAGCATGTTAGGTTGGATTTTGCAGGACGACCTTCTTGGATGGGGACTCGAACTTTGGCTCAATGTGCCTTTTAAATGATCTTGCCAACTCGTCGAACGATCAAGCGCCTTGACCCTGAGGAGACGACCATCGAGCTTTTGCTGTTTTTGGATTCTGATTTCGTCTTGCCTTTGTCCTTGGAAATCGACGCCTGGAGCAATGGATGATTTCTCCAGGTTTTGACAATTCTGGACTCTAGAGACTGTTGGCAATCTATATTTGGCATCAGTCAGTATCAGCAGTACCTGTCGGGTGTTGAGAATCGATTCTGTCCTGTCGAATAGTTACTGCCAATAAATTGGGAGAACCAGGACAAACACAGATTTACAATTCACATAGTGGCTATCTGGAAGACAAGGAAGCAAGATGAAACAAGCAACACAATGCAGTACACTTCCTTTGGGGTACCATTACCCGGCATGCCAAATCAGAAACACTTCTTTCATTTCTCTATATTTTTCTCATCCCACACATTCCCACTCTCCCACGCACTCCTACACGCAACAAAACAGTCCTACCTAGCGGTTCTTTCTTCTGTGTGACCGAGGAACCACCTTTCGGCTTCCAACTGGACACCTCTCCGTCGCCGTTGCACCCGGCCTTGGCCGCACGGACGGGGGTGAACCCCTTCCGTTCCGGGCGCCCGGACGTGGCGACGAGAGAGCGAGCCGCACGGCCAGAGCGAGCCGCACGGCATCGCCGCAATGCCTGATTCCTCGATGTTTATAGATTTGTGTGCTAGATTCATTAGATACATATTCATTAAATATAGATTCATTAGATTTCATTAGTTCGTTCAATCATAATGATATCATGACTGCAATCCTTCTTGCTGGACCACTTCCTAGGTCCCATGCTCGATGGTGGTGGTTGCGGACACGCTGAAACCGCGGGTGTTTGAGTCCGACCGGGGCGGTGATCGTGGAGACATTTGCAGTGCTCAGCTGGCAGGAAATATGGGTTCATCCATTCTGGCAGTTTGTATGGAGGAGAGATACGTTTCATTGCCAAGCTCCGAGATGGATTGTTGCTTGATTGGATTCTTTGATACTATTTAGCACCATCAGGTAAAGTGATCACTGCTAATCGATCTAGTCTCAGCCAATCCTCTTCTGGACTCAGCAGCAGGTGATTGCTTTTAAAGTGATCCTGGCGGGAGTTGGACACTGTTGGAGTGTCGCACCCATATTTTATCATATTTTCATCATCCCAGGCTATGTCCTCCCCAGCAAAGCCATCATTGAGCTGGGCTTCGCCTCCACAGCTCCGACACCCTTGCCGGCGGGGCGCTACTACGTCTCTGTGCGAGGCGCTTGGGAAGTCTGGGAAGCAATGTTGAGCTGGGACGATGATTAGGAGCGATGCAGAACAATAGCAGACTCAACATTGTTTCCAAGAGACTTAGACACTTGGAATGATGATTAGAATCAGAAGTTAGAAGCGACTAACAGACAACTGTTCCAAGAGACTCAGACATTCGGAGGCTACAACCCACCGACGGCGCCTTCGAGCTTGGAGGAGGACTCCCCACGACATTCCTGGAGGCTTACGATCTCCAGTCATGCTCCCAATCAACTGGCAGGCAGGGGTAGGCAACCTCAAATCAAGGCCAAAGGTCTTTGAGGAATGGTTCGATCATGTTCCAACTTGCGTCCCCTGGCAGGGCTCAATTTCACTTTCGCACCCTTTGCCTATGGAAGTGTACCCAATTTCATTCTGGATGACACCTTGGCGGCCGATACGATTTGGCACCTTGGAAGGAAAAGACATTAGCAGTAGCCTCTTCAGGAGGGAAGACAGCTTCTTTCTTCTTACCGGGTCTTATATAGCCTATGTGGATCAGGCCGCAGTCGATTTAAGAAATCCAAGCCTCGCGTGGCCAGTGTGGGACGGTCAACCATCTTATCCCTGTTTTTGAAATGTATGGCAATCAAACAGCTTGGGGTGGCATATAATATGAGCCTCGCAGGATTCTATGTTGGAAGGGTTCTCAACTTGGAACCTTCAAGAAGAAAAGCTTTGTCCTAGTGGTATATAGACGAGTAAAACAGCCACGCGCATGAAATTTTGTATGACAGGTGAATTGAACACATTGTGCTCCTAGGGTCATCCAACGGTGCTATTTTGTGCTCATGTGAGTTCCATTTCGCTTACGCATTGATCGCCCATGTCTTAAGGAGGGGAGCATCCTGGCCGAGCAATGACCCGGAGACGCTGTCTGCTGTGCTCACCGACGACCTCTTGAGTCCCAGTCGGGTGATCCCTCTGACTCGAGCATGGAGAGAGTCAAAAGACGAGTGGTGGATGCGTGGCCACCGATGTGTCGTCGATGCGTGGTTGACCGACCTATACCGGTAAAGGGAGAGGGGACCGCCACAGAGGATCCCCAGAATGGAGAGTTTCTTCTCCAAAAGGATGACACAAATGATGCTGCCCAACTTTGGGAGTGTAAAGCATGACTCGTAAGAATTTCACAAGATCTGTCTTTGTCAGCCCCCACCTCATCTCCATCACTGGAAGACTCCAGGCACGGGGTGTGAGCATGAGCTCACTGACCTGGAGGGACGTGGTGGTGAAGCTCCTCAGCAACGAGGCTCATCTCCCCTTGCAACGCTCGGGCGCTCAGCGGGCTCCTTCGCCTCGCTCGCGCCAAACGAAGGTTCGGCACCGAAGGAGTTGTGTTGTAATCGAAGCACCCATCTGCAGCAACCCATTTGCACCAAACTTGGCTAAGAGGGAATCAAGGCAGGCCGCCCAGCATGCACCATGTTATTTATATGTTATATAATACTTTGTTTTAAAATTTTTAGGGCATGCAGATTGCCTTCCTAGAGTTGTTCAAGATGTTCAAGCCTACGCTCAGGCCGCGTGCAGTACGTTGGTGAGAGGATCAAGTGGTTCTTCCAAATCCAGAAGGTCGGGGGATGTCACTGAACAACCACCAATGCACAATTCTGTGCCTTGGTGTTCAGAACCTCTGTTGTATTGGTTGTTCAGTTTTTGCGAAGGTGCCCAAGTTTGTCAGAGACGCTTTTTGTTCCCGTGAAGTATCGGCCCACATGTGTTCGGAAAAGATCCTGGTGTGTGTGGAGAAGAGTGAAGTCATGGAGTGTGGAGAAGCTTTTCCAGTGCAGCAAAAATCGTTCCGACATTTCTCCTCGCAAAGCAGGCACAAACTGCAGATCCAGTTAGCAAGATACATATCCGCACCAGTGTTTTCTCGTGTCAGGACTCAGTCATTGACTTCATGAGCAGCTTGGAGGGCAATCCTTCTGAGACTCGGCCAAGTTTGGAGCGTCAGTCATCCGGGTCGAAGCAAAGTTTGAAACAACATCCAAGGAGACTGAAGAAGAATGAAGAGATAGAAAAAAGAGGGTTTTCGGACTCCTTTATAGGGCCTTTGGCCCTCAATACAGGGGTGTCCAAACTTATGTTCTCTCTTGACTAGTAAGCAGCCATGAAGTATGAAGGCACCCGACCACAGTCAGAAGTTGCTGCATTGGCCTAGAGGCTGAGAGCATCGTGACAACCAAGGAAAAGATGTACTCCAGCTTGTTGCCCAAGAACGTCCGGGAGTCTCAGGGAAGAACAGCTGTCAATCCATTGAAATGGGTGGATATGGTGTGAGAGGGCAACGGTGGATATGGTCGCAGAAGCGTATTTACTGCAGGACAAGGCTCAAGTATATAGAAATCTGAGGCGGAGAAGCTATCGATCTCTGTTTTTGCTGTGCTAATGTTTGCTGCGCTAAGCAGTGGCTGTGTTTCAAGCAATAGTAACTTTCAACAACCACCACCACACAGCCAGGATACCACAAATGGTGAGCAGTGCTCGATCTGGCTACTCTATATCAGCCGTATTATAGAGAGTGCGTAGCTGGTCCCACCATTGATCGCCATTGGTGAAGGCAACTTGGATATCCATGATATTATGATGCCGGCGATCAAGAGAGCGCATACTCATGAGCGATGGAGCTTAGCTGTCAGGTCCAGGGATACCGACCCCCTAAGTGTGAGGTGATCAAGTTCGGTCAGTTCGGCCTCATGTTGAGGTAAAGCTCATCAAGCAGAATGAGATGATCAAGCATTTGGTCTTCTCGACCTATGATCAGGTGACTTTCCAGAGATGAATCTTGATGGTGCAACTTGAAGTACGATTGGCTCCATACGCTTAATTAATGTTCTAGGCTAGTTAAGGCGAAGTGTTCATTCTTTGGCAAAAAGACCTTGAGTTAGTTAGTTAGTTAGTTTGTTTGTTTGTTTGTTTGTGTGGATCATGATTTCAATTTCTTGGTTTACTCTTCACGACAATTTTTTGAGTGCTCAACTTGGGTATATCTTGCTGGTGCCAAGGCTCAGTAGGCGGCTCAGCACGATCAGACAGACTCTGAAGAGTTTACTCAAAAGCGTAGAGCCAGGCTTGCCAGCGACAGCTGAACCAGTTCATCGAGCTCTTTGATAACATGCTCACGTTTAGCTGGCCGTTTATGCTGCCCCACCAAAGCAATGCATGGGTTGTAGGCTGAAAGTGCTTCAAGTGTCATGAAATGACACAGACTCGCCCAAAGTGATTTCAATGAAAGGGACGGAACTTCTTCCATCATTTGTGTCGTCTCATTTGAGAATGTTTGGGTAAGCGTTTTTCACGGGACGAGCTTTTCTCCAGATGTTGAACAGCGAAGGCTCCAGGGTGATCTCAAAGACGCACTGTGGAGACGGACATGTAGGTAGACAAGTGAAGCAAGTCAAGCAGCGCAGACGGTAGCGACGTGGATCTCTGGCGGACGGTGCCAGGTCGACCTTCGCAAACCCCTGGGTCTTCCTCAAGGGTGCCACATACACCGGCTACGAGGTGGGGTGAGGGGATGTGACGGGGTTGGACTGGGAGCAAGATCCGAGGCCAGGAGCCCCGATCGTAGCTTCTTGTTCCTAGTAGTAAGGTCAGGAGCCCCTAGTAGCGTCGCGCCAATCAGGATGTTTTTCCAAGTGTTTTTTCACATGTAAGTTGTATAAGTGGACTAATTATTATACGCCAGAGTGAAAGCACTGTTGCAGGATGGGGACACTGCTTTGCCATCCTTGGATGATACCAAGGTGCGTGACCAAGACCTATACTTTGAATTATTTTGAGTGGTTGTCATGATGCTCAGACTCGTCGACTCAACTGATCTCCAACCTGCCCCAAGCCTCGCTGTGCGGTACAGTTCACTCAACTGTGTCACGTGTGTTGAACCCCTCAACTTGCAATGCGTGTAGAGCCCAGCCTCGGCCTCATTCCGAACTTGACCGAGGACAGGATCCCCAAGGAGATCCAGAGCCGATCCAGCATCGACACTGGCCTGCGTTTGGCTGCGGAGAGGGGCAGTGATGTAGGCAGCGGCATGCTGTACACCTGTGGGTATGAATGCAACGGTGATGATGCAGCGTTTCAAATTTGATATCATCATGTTTTTCAAAATTAGTTTTTTGTTTTGTTTACATGCTGCCCTCAAACAGCTGGGGGCTATAGGAATATCATTGCAGACATTTCCACTCAACATTGGAATTGAAAGACCTGACGCAAAGCAATCCTGCTGAAACTGTTTGGGGTCTATGCTGGTATAAGCAATACATTGTGTATGTGTCTTTTGACTTCAATGCGATTGACTTCTCTACACCTCTGATGTTCCTGGCCAAGGAGAGTAAGCTCTCGGAGTGGCTGCTGGGCATTCCAACGGACTCACATCAGATCGATGAAGCCGGGCCATCGACTCACGCTCAACTCACATGATCCTGGCAGTTTTTTCTCATATGAGTCACATGAGCTTGGACATTTGACAAACAATATAGATTTTTTGGGACATGTAGACATGTCCTCGTCATGATGCTGCCCATGACGGTTTGGCGTCCTTTGACATTGGACCGATGTCACCCGTGTCATACATGAAAACTGTGGCACCACCCGATGTCACCCGTTTGTCGCTGGAGAGTTTGTTCAACGGTTTTTTGCGTTGCAGAGAAGCTCCAGAAAAACTACAGATGCAGAGAAGCTCCCCTGACAGGCTGTGGACAAGGTGCAGATGCTGGTCCTCAAGACTTACAGTTTCATTCGCTCCCAGGTTTGCGACCAGGCTCGTGAACTCTACGGATTCATATGAATCGACTTCACGTCGTGCTTCATCCAAACGCTGCAAAATTGTTGGTATGCTCCACGGCCACTGCGGACTACATGGTTAATCTTTCTAATGTTATTGACTTTTTCCTTGAAAAGTCAATGGTCAACCCCAACAAAGGGGATCTCTTTTGTTTCATCATCCAATAAGGACCATTATTGCTTTATTGTCAAACTACATGCATCCAGCTTGTGAGCAAGTACGCCCTCCAGCATGTGATCAGGGCAACAGGGAGTTGTTCCCGAAAGTCCGACGAAAGAATGACATGGACCGGAACACGTCCTCTGCCTGTTTTCCCCATGGAACACCTGCAGTCGCCTCCGTTGGGTCGAGACAAGACCAACGAGCCTCGAGTCACCTTGGGGAGTCGGCTGTTGAGGTGGAGCTTTTTGCTGAGTCCTTCTTCAAGCTCCCGATGCTGCGTCGCCTCGAAGAGGTGCGAGGGGAGCTTGGGCTCAACTGATAGACTGATAGACGAGGACGTCACCCGGATGCAGACAAAGCCCCGGACTCAGTTTGGCAAGAAATAAGTAGTTGGAGGTATTCACCCTCCTCTTAAAGAAGGAGCCAAGAAGCAACAGGAAGTTCCAAAAAAATGGGTGGAGCCTTCGATGCAGAAGAGGAGCCCAGACTCTGTGCCTCTTCTCAAGAAAGGAGCGCGTGGAAAGGGTTTGCAATAAAGAGGCTTAGTTGGATACTGTATAAATATAAGGTTCTCAACATCGTGCAGCACACACACTGCTGAGCGTTCCTTCTAATGACCCAAGTAAGAATTATTACCACAGACAATCGCCTTTGCCACATGTAAATGTAGCTTTCTTCCAACCCACCTAAAGATGGGCTGTAGGAGGTAAAGCTAATGAGAAGCATTCCTCTGCTCAGATGTTACTTAACAAAGTGATCTCAATGAGTGCAGTAAGCCAATCAGTCGGTACATGTCAACGTTTTGCATCCGACTGGATTGGACAGAAACTCGTTCTAATCCACCACAGAACGCTTTTACTTCATTTCCTTCCTTCGGCCAGGACATGAACAGGATCGCTCTTTCGGATGCTGACAAGGCCAATTACAAGGCAGGATGGAGAGGAGTTGGCACAACACATCGCGCCTCCACATCGTCGTCGTGGTTTGGTGCCATTCGATCCAGAAGGGCGAGAATGGTGTTCAATTCGTTGCCTCGCATGTTGGCCCGCCTGTTTGCGCCTCAGTGGCAAGACCAACCCCCTGATGACATTCACACCGACTTTGTCTGAATATCTTCCCACGAGACGCGAATTCATATCCAATCCGGTCGAATTCGGAAGCTTCTCCGGAGCTGTGGAGCTTGGAGCCCCTGCGGGAGCTTGGACCCAAGGCGCGTCGCGACCGACTGGAGGGCGAGGTGGTCAAGGCGCGGCGGTTCGCGCGACGTTGAGCGATGGAATGAAGACCGTTCAGTTTCAGTTGAGAAAGAGGGAACCAATAGGGTAAGAATTTGTTGGTTTTGCTTTTTTTTTTCTCTTCCGGTGATGGGGTATGCAACATCTTGAGAACCAAAATAGGTGGTATGGATATTTGCTGTTCCTGTCGAGTCACGTGCGTGAGATGAGACCTGTGCCACATGAATACAGCCACTTGGTATTTTCATGAATCAGATTCGGATGATACAAAACGGTACTGTATCAGCTGCAACGTGCATACAGATTCCGTCAAGGACTGGTTCCTCATCCATGTGTGTTTTCAGGTGAAAGAGAATCTGAAGGAGGTGGCTGAATGCACCGAGAGACTTCAGGCAGAGATCATCAACGCATTGAACGGGAATGGAGAACGCCCCCGGGAACCGTTGCAGGTGATTGGCACCACCGCTGAGGTGAATGATTCACGCAGCGCAAGCTTGTGATCAACTTACCTAAACTCATCCGGGAGCCATGGGGTTTGATTGCAATCTGGGCTCGGCCTGTCATTGAAAGCATGACTACAAAAGACAACCATAAGACTACCAAAGTGAAGCCACAGATGACACAGACAATAGATGATCATAATATGATTTGTGCAAACGGAAGCTTCTCTCATTCCAAGATTATTCACAGGACTCACAACATAGCTTCATGGACGTTGAACATGATTTTTCAGAGCCCATGGAGTTGATCAGCCTATTCCAGCACATGGTGTTTTCTTTCTTTCTCACTTAAAGGAGTCAACGTTTTCGGCGCTATTGATGTGGCCACTCTCATCTCACGGCTTTATTCCGGTCGATTGATCCCACCGGCCGCACTGTCGCGCCAGGCCTTCAAGCTCAAGTGCCAAGCACAACGTGCCCGCTGAGCGCTCGGCCGCAGCCCCGTGGGCCTTCCCTACGGTGGCCATCTCAGCCCTAAGAGATGAAGTGAAACAGACCAATGACAAAGAGGAATTGTGGTCATCAGACCTAGCATAACTGGAGTCGTTAAGGTGACGATTTTGGGGTGACATGGAGGTTTCGGTACAGGTCAGGTTTCGGTACATGGAGGTCACTGGTCCTGGCCCATTTTGAGTCCAAAGGAATTCTGAGAGGATCAACCGATTTTCCCATGAGTTCACATTTTACTCGCTAGGAAGGCATCCGACGTTTGGGCACACATGGGGGGGATATGAGGGTCGATTTTAATAGACAAAAAGGCAACTTTCGGCTACATGATGCCGCAGGTATCATGATGCATATGTAAAACTCATGATACTTGCGGCTGATCAGATTTGACCCCCGGTTTGGACCCATGACGATTGGGACCGGGGTGGCCGCTTTGCATCGATTCTCGCCTGGTATCACCCGACAAAATTCATGTCCAATTCGCCCGTGGCACGCGAGACGCTCATGAGATCACCTGAAGCATGGGCAAATCAGCTCCTACGAGAACTGGATCATTGAATCATTGAATAATGTTCTCAATATACAATATATAGTTTAAAAAAAGCCTGCACTCAAGTAGAAACCCAAGCGGTCCCCAGAATCCCCAGCAGCCATATTTCCAATTGCTGGGTGTCAGCTTCAAGGAGATATAGATCATTTCGATCATGATGAAATCATTACGTCCGCTATTGGTGGGTATTTCTGGCAATGGGCTTCGCTTTGGTGGCTTACGACCAACTTAACTTTGTGCGCCTGTTGGATTTAGTATCCTATAAGGAGGACATTTCCTAGAAGGGCATGAAAGATTACGTTCAACATGTTTGGTGACGTAGCTTTGAGCGTGATAGATCCCTGTGGATTGACTGAGCCTAGGGCCTCTAGGGCCTAGAATCCTCCCAGCTGAAGTTGGCACACGTGAGGCGTCCGCGTCGCACAGACATAGCATCAATGGCTGTGAAGCAGCACTTGGAGAATTGGCCCATTTCCAAGATCAAAAGTTGTCCCCACCTCATTTGGATAAGCGACAATGTATGGAACAAATACTGCTTCCCACAGACACCAGCAGTGAACCAAACCTGTGGGCAGATATTCCAAAAGCTTGGGGTCATCAAGACCCTTTCTGGGTCCTGATTTATTTAGCATCAAGCAGAAAAAGGCATGGGATATCGCTCATGGAAGTGTGAATTGGAAGAGTCCGTCTACGTTGGAAAGTTTGTGTCTGGGGTAAGTATGCACTTCGAGCATGGTGCTTCCAGCTACAGGAGATAGATATTTTGAGGGAGTTGCAAGCGTTGGTTGTTGTATCGAGCAAGCTTGTCCGGGGCGCACATTCTGGTGATATCTGGTAAGGCAGATGCACCGCAATGATGCAGCCTTTGTGCTTTCGCATCTAGCAGTCACATGTGTCAGTCTAGTACAAAGGGTAGTCTATGTAAATCAGCCTACCATTTCTGACTCTCTCGTCTAGCCCTCAGTACAGCATGTCATCCCCTTTTGACCGTTGACCATATTTCAGCGTAAGCATGCGTAAGCGCAAGCGTCAAAGGCAAAGAAACGAGGCAATTGTCTCCATGGCTTCGGCTGTTTCATTGTTTGTCCCAACCCATACGACAAGATGTTTTTCCCCATGGCTTCTGCCATGTGAGCCTCCAACGTTTTTCTTCACCATTTGTGGGCCACAAGTTGACAGGTTGCTATTGGGCATTATCACATGCATTAGGACACAATAAGCTCATGCGCTTGTGAAGCCGGAAGCCATGGATCTCTTGGTGCCCTCGGAGCCCTTTCGCAGCCACCCCTGTGCTGTTCGGCACACCCATGCCGCGGGTCCCACACCTGTGAGACACCTGCAGCCCTTGGGGTTAGGCACCACGGCTTTGGCCGGAGTGGTGGCATTGCGAAGACTGTCCAGTACAAGAAAGGCTTGAAACTCAGGATGTAGTGCTAAGACTTCTGGCGCATTGTTGTGCTTTTTTAGCTAACCATGCTTTTCACCACAAGGGAGTGAGAAGTTGCCATGCATGAATTGATGTGTTACCCGCGGGGCCGGCACTCGCGCCCAGTGACCACGCACCTTCCTGAGGCGGCGAACGCGGGCGAAAAGGCCAAGCCGTCGAAAACTGCCTCGGGAAGGTAGAGTCAAAGTTCTTTGCAGATGGACACCAACAACTCATGTGTGTGTGTGTGTGATGAACATGATCTCAGAGATGTTGCCAAAAATGCCTGCTGCCTGCTCGTGTGCATTTTGTTGCGGTGCAGGTGCAATAAGCACTCCTTGGTTTTGATAGACCCTGCCCCAACACCGTGATTTATATGTAGTCAACACATGTCAACACTATATAAGGATGACTCAACTCTCATCACATGAATCGCCAACATCACCGGGCGCTCCGCCGTTGCTTTTGCTTGAAGATCTATCCTCCTTCCACCTCGGCACCGCACCGAACATCCACGCGTCACATCCACGACCGGACCTCCGGACCGAAGCGATGAGCGGTGCAGGTGGTGGGCATCGATTTGGGCACCACCAATTCAGTGGTCGCAGCAGTGGAAGCAGCAGTGCCCACGGTGCTCCCCAACTCCGAGGTGGGCTGCGGCAGTGCCGGAACGGGCGGCGAGAAGTGAGTTGACTTGAGTTGACTTGTTCGATTCGTCTTGAAAAAGGCGAAAACATGTGGAAACCCAATGAGTTGACTTGTTCTTAGTGATTCCAATAAGCAAGGGCCAAAACATTCTATGAAGAGTTTTGGAGGTGAACCGCCAGCTAGCTAGACTGTTTGAAGCTCTGCAATCACTGTGTGTAGCGATAGGGAACCCTGAAGGGAGATACTTGTTCCAGGAATATGCTAACTCCCAATGATATTTTGAACATTTGGAAAAACATGATACCAACCATCCTAAACCGATACCTGGAGCGATACCTCAGAAGGCCAGTCCTAGCCACCTCTCCATGTGTCGAGCCACAACTCACTAACTCTACTAGCGTTTCCTCGTGCCACGTAGTCAAGAGCGTACATTTGCAATTTGTTGAAACAATGGCTTACATGAGCTTCTACCAGGAACCACAAAGAATCTTCAGGGTTAAGAGAGATTGTCGGGTTCTTTGTTTTGTGTGGGAATAGAGAACCTTCAGGAGCGATACCATGGCAGCAGCATGACTAGCATGTTTTGACCAGTGACCACCGCACATATTATGATTCCCAAAGCGTGGTACATATAGGAATGCAGATTCTGTTTAGGTTTGAGAGACTAACGCCCTCTTCCTGAGGGTGAAAGAACCACTCCAAGCGTGCTGACCTCAGTAGACAGCTCTTTTCGTTCTGCCGAATTTGCTATTTTCCTCATTGGTCGGAGCCTTCCTGCGCTCAAAAGAATGATGGATAATAGATGATTGATCGCAGCAACTGCCATGAGGCATCATGAGTCCGTTTTTTTATCTATTTGAGACCAGTGTAAGGTTGTGGCGTACTGCAAAGATGGTGAGATTCTGGTGGGGACGACAGCAAAGCGGCAGGCAGCCAGAGCAACCAAGCTGCAGACTTGTGTACTTTGGAATGCCGTTGCCAGCAGGGTATCAATTGATAGTGGTCAAGTTTTGGTGATATGATGCCGCAATGTGTCAGCTGGGCGGACGGATAGAAAGCGCAGTCACCACGATTTGAGTTCGTATACCAACCACGAAATGCAAGATAAGGACGTATGGAGGCTTAAGGACGGTTGGCATTTACTAGGCCAGCTCAGGAAGCAGTTTTTTTTGCATATTTTCATCAACTCTTCAACACAACCCTCCGCTCGCCTCCGCTCGCCTCGAACGTTCGGCCCAACATCCCGCTCGGCAGGCTGCCTTGAACCCCTTGAACACTTTCGGATCGGTGAAGCGATGGTTTGGTCGCACCTATGCTGAGGCCCGGATTGGAGCGAATTGAACAGCTTGGCATCAGTCAGTCAGCTTACCTCATAGATTCTAATAGTGTATAGGGTGGTGATCAGTGTGGTGATCCTATCAATATTTTCGGAAGCACAGACTTCCTTCCTAGCCACAGGTCAACCGTCTCGCGTCAGAGTTACACTTTGCGCCTGTGAGCATCTTCAGGTGGAGGAGGACATTGCGTCAATCCCATACCACATTGTGGACAAAGACGGGAAGGTGTCCTGACTTGTCTCAGATTTATGGCGCCGTCGGCAGTCTTTTGGTTGACGTTGGTATACTAGAGCTTGCTGGATGATCCAAAGAAGGTGGTTTATTGAGAGTCCGCCAATGTCCATGTATCGAGAAAGTGATCACCTTGTACAGAATCAATTTTTGAAATTTTAGCAGAAGTTTGGACTTCTTGGTATCCAATTTGGTTGACGCATCAAACTTTGTCCTATAGCAGCTCCTTGCTTTCGTCCGGAAGATAGAGCTTGTCCGTACAATTGAATTTGGAATAGAAAGTCCTCAGGGTGCCTGTACATGGGTAGATTTGCTATTTTCAGTGCAAGTTTAAAGCTTCTATATACATGTTTATAACCATGCCACCAGCAAAACACCGGCCTGTTGAGTTGCTGTAACTCCGTTCCAGACGCGATTGGACTGCCCACACCTGCAGCGGGCACTGGCGCCGGAAGAGGTCTCGGCCCATGTGTTGAGGAGCGGAGCCTGGGCGGATTAGACATCAGACATCGACGCGCGGAGAGGAGATTCAACCTCTTGGGGTGATTGGCATGTTGAGGGCCTCTTCTCGACACAGATCGTATGGAATACACAGCTGACAGTCGAATTGGATATTGGATACACATAGTTTTTCGGCGTGCGATTGTTTTGTAAGAAAGATTCAGTGGGCTTGTCGGCAGTCGTCACACATTCCTCAAACATGCCAACTGCAGCTTGCTGCCACAACAATCAACCGCTTGTGTGTAATGTACAGCTTTTGCGTGAATATAATATATATATATATTT